TAATACTTCGGCCCATTTAACACCTCCTCCTAGGTATGGAGGGGACTCTAAGACTTGCAGAGGGTTTATTAATCAAATTGAATTCCACTTCGAAATGTATCCACGTTCATTTCCCACAGAGAGGTCTAAGGTTGGGTTCTTTATGCACCAACTTACCGATAAGGCACTTGAGTGGGCAAATCCTATTTGGGAAGCTAATGGACCTATGGTACATGATTTCAACAGTTTTCTTACGGCTTTTCGTAGAACTTTTGACACAATGAAAAGGTCAAAGAATGCCGCGAGAGCATTAATGAGAATTAAACAGGGTTCTAGGTCTGTGGCTGATTATGCTATTCAGTTTCGCACTCTTGCTTCGCAGGTAGATTGGACCAACAATGGGTTAACTACTGCCTTCATGGAAGGTTTGTCAGATACGATATTGGATGAGGTAGCAGCTAAGGAGCTTCCTATTGCCTTAGAGGACCTTATTGATTACCTCATTGATATAGATAATAGAATTCGTGACAGGCTCTATACCAAGAACAGGAATAGACGTTTTGTTACACCCATTAACCCCAGAGTTAATATACCAGAGAGTGTTAAAGTGTCTGAGGAGGAACCTATGCAATTAGGGGTTGCCAAACTCTCTGATACTGAGAAATTACATAGGAGAAGGGAGGGACTCTGCCTATACTGTGGTAGGAGAGACCATATGGTAAAGGAATGTCCTTTACTCCCGGAAAACTCTCGCACCTAAGACCTTATAGGGGACTGGCCTTGGGTGTGATATCTAAGTCTCCTAAATTGCCTCCTAACCGCTTGCTTCTCCCGGTTTCTTTATATATGGGAGAGATTTGTATAGTTGACAACATATATGCTCTGGTTGACTCTGGGGCAGCTGAAAATTTTATAGACTCTGGCTTTATAAAGAGAAACAACATTCCCATCAGAGAGAAGGAGATACCCTTGGCCGTTGAGGCCATAGATGGTAGACCATTAAGTTCTCCAGTTGTTACTCATGAGACTGTACCATTACACATGTACACAGGGGTTTTACACTATGAAACCATTCGATTCCAGGTCATCACCTCTCCCTCTTCACAGTTAGTATTAGGGTATCCATGGTTACGTGCTCACAATCCCATTTTTGACTGGGAGACAGGGCAAATAAAATCATGGAGTGAGGCCTGCCACGAGTCTTGTACGTTTGAAGTCACACCTTTGAATTCTATTAAGGTACCTACCAGTCCTCCTTTGTCTACGGCTATACCCCCTCAGTATTTATCTCTAAAGACTGTTTTCGATAAAAGGGAGGCTGAGAAATTACCGCCTCACAGACCCTATGATTGTGCTATTGACTTGTTGCCTGGCACTATACCTCCAAAGGGCAGGGTGTACCCCTTATCGGTTCAAGAAAACCGTGTCATGGAGGAGTATATTAAGGAATCACTAGAAAAGGGGTTTATTAGGAGATCCTCTTCTCCAGCTGGAGCAGGGTTCTTCTTTGTATCGAAGAAAGAAGGTGATTTAAGACCGTGTATAGATTATAGAGGTCTAAACAAAATCACTATCAAAAATGCATACCCTATACCTTTAATTACAGAATTATTTGACAGGCTGAAACATGCCACTGTGTTCACTAAATTAGACCTTAGGAGTGCATACAATTTGATACGTATAAAGGAAAATCACGAATGGAAGACTGCATTCAACACTAGATCCGGTCATTACGAATATACTGTTATGCCATTTGGGCTTTGCAATGCCCCAGCAGTATTCCAAGAATTTATTAATGATGTCTTAAGAGATTTTATTCACACATTTGTTATCGTATACTTGGACGACATTTTAATATATTCTACAGACATACACACTCATCACAGACATGTTACGACAGTTTTGAAGACCCTTCTTGCTAATGGTCTTTATTGCAAGCTAGAAAAATGTCTGTTTGACCAAACCGAAGTCCAGTTCTTGGGGTATTTGATTTCCGCTAAAGGTTTTCGTATGGATCCCCAGAAGCTTGCTGCTGTAATAGAATGGCCTCTACCGCAAGGTCTGAAAGCTATTCAGCGTTTTCTTGGGTTCTCCAATTATTATAGACGTTTTATCAAAGGTTTCTCGTCCATTGTAGCACCTATTACCCGTATGACTAAAAAGGATGGCAATACTCGTGTTTGGTCTACCGAGGCACTTCAGGCTTTTGAATTTCTTAAAACTACGTTCGCCTCTGCACCTATTTTACAGCATCCTGTCCCCTCACTGCCCTATATTCTTGAAGTTGATGCTTCGGATATTGGGGTAGGTGCTGTCTTATCCCAAAGAGAGTCGCCTGAAAAGCCATTGCATCCATGCGGCTTCTTTTCTAAACAAATGTCCAAAGCAGAGAAAAATTATGATGTGGGTAATCGCGAACTCCTTGCTATTATTTTAGCACTTAAAGAGTGGAGACATTTGTTAGAAGGAACTAAGGATCCTATCCTCATTTTTACGGATCACAAGAACCTATCCTACCTTAGCGAAGCTAAAAGATTGTCTTCCAGGCAGGCTAGGTGGTCACTATTTTTGTCCCGTTTCAATTTTATTATCACCTATAGGCCAGGTGATCGCAACACTAAAGCAGACGCTCTGTCCAGACAGTTCGAAACTACTGACAAACAGGAGATTGATGTTACTCCTGTCATTCCCCCAGACAGGATAATAGCTACTACTATTTTGTCTATTTCCTCGTCCCTCTTGCAGGCCATACAAGCGAAACAAAGCATGGCACCTAGCGAGAGGCCTAATGATAAACTGTTCGTTGATGTTCCTGAGAGACGGGATATTATGTCATTATATCATGATACTAAGACTGCTGGACATCCTGGTATTTCCAAAACGGTGTCAGCTGTTTCTCGGTATTTTTGGTGGGATTCCTTACGAAAGGATGTCACTGACTATATAAGTGCTTGTACTACTTGTGCCTGTATGAAATCCTCCCGTAGAGTTCCTTGTGGGCTGTTGCATCCGTTACCCGTTCCCGAGAGACCTTGGTCTAACCTGTCCATGGATTTTATTGTTGAATTACCCCCTTCAAATGGTAACACAGTAATCCTGATGATAGTGGATCGGTTTTCCAAGATGGCTCACTTCGTGTCTCTTCACAAGTTGCCCACATCCAAGGAACTGGCTCATATCTTCGCTAGAGAAGTATTTCGATTACATGGTATTCCCGTATCTATTGTATCCGATAGGGGTAGCCAATTTATTTCCAGGTTCTGGAGGGCCTTTTGTTCAGAAATGGGTATTTCTCTCTCATTTTCTTCCGCTTATCATCCCCAGTCTAATGGGGCTGCTGAACGTGCCAACCAGTCTCTGGAGCAATACCTCCGTTGTTTTGTGTCTCACCATCAGGACAATTGGTCTGACCTGCTTCCTTGGGCTGAATTTGCTCGGAATAACGCCACTCATGATTCTTCCGGCAAGACCCCTTTTTACGTTGTCTATGGCCAGCATCCCGTTGTTCTTCCGGCTGCATTCTCCTCACAGGGCATGCCAGTTCTGGATGAGCATTTGGCTGGTTTGCGTAATACTTGGGAGCAGGTTCAGCGTTCTTTGGTGGACTCTGCTACTCGCCAGAAGGCTCAGGCTGACAAGCATCGCAGAGCAGCTCCGTCCTATGTTGTGGGGGACAGGGTTTTGCTTTCCACGCGGAATATTCGTCTCCGGGTGCCTTCTATGAAATTGGCTCCCCGCTTCATTGGACCTTATCGTATTATACATAAGGTTAATCCTGTTTCTTATGCCTTAGGCCTGCCTAAGAATCTACGTATTCCTAATGTCTTTCACACCTCATTGTTGAAACCTTACGTACGCAACCGCTATACCCGGCATACTCCTCCTCCCCCTCCTATCTCAGTGGAGGGTCATGAGGAGTTCGAAGTGTCTGCTGTTCTTGACTCTCGTTTCCTTAGGGGTCGACTTCAGTACTTGGTACATTGGAAGGGTTATGGGCCTGAGGAGCACAGTTGGATTTCGGCTGATGCTGTTCATGCTCCCCGTCTTGTGCGCTCTTTCCATTCTCGTTTTCCTGCCAGGCCTGGTCCTACCCGCCCGGAGGGCGTGTCCTCAGGGGGGGGTACTGTAGCGTTACTTACCTTAACCGGGGGCCGGTCGCGGTCCTCTCTTCAAGCCGCGCGCGGTCCTGCGGCTGCACGAGCCGCGCGCGGCTCATCCGACTGCTTTAGATGGAAGGCGGGCAGTGACCGCGTGAAGCGGTCACGTGTCCCGCCTGAAACTAAGAGCGCGCCGCGAGTCTCGGGCGCGCTCTTAAAGAGACAGTGGGAGCCTAATTGCCAAAAGGCTCCCATTGGCTCCTGTCATACCACACTCCCTATACAATTACCTTTTGGGGGTGTGGAAGTGACAGGAGCCAATCACTTTCGTTTAAAAGCTATTTAAACTTACCTTTTTCCCTTAGCTCGTTGCCCTATCGTGGTTTCTGTTTCAGTTCCCTTTAGCGCTTGTGGTGTTCAGTTGTGTTTTCTCGTATTGACTTTGGCTTCGTATTCTGACTTCGTTTTCGCTTTATCCTTATCTGTACTGTTTGCCGGCTTGCTGTTTTCCATGTACCAGACCCCGGCTTGTCCTAGTTTACGCTGTCTCTCTGTGCCCTTGACCTCGGTTTGTTCCTGGCTCTGTCTCCTCTCATATACGTCGAGTCCGACCATTCTAAGGTCCGGTAGACGTATCTCTCCTCTGTATTGGCTTCTGTTTAGCTGGATCCTGCGTGTAGGGGTATATTCTCGTTACAATTATTAGTAACAGAGAGAAGCTTGATTGTAGAAACAATTACTTAACTTAAGAGGCAGTTCTGGAACTGTAGGGGTTAACTACATCCAATGGAAGTGGAGAGGGGTAGAAGTCCGTTTAGCAAGCCGAGGTCAAGGAGTGGAGAAGGTAGAAGTCCGTTTAGCAAGCCGAGGTCAAGGAGTGGAGAAGGTAGAAGTCCGTTTTAGCAAGCCGAGGTTTAAGAGTGGAGAAGGTAGTAGCCGTCCCAGAACGATACTCGATACAGGCAGGATCAAGGTAGTGCAGCTGATAAGTTTGCAGGCACCTGTGCAATAATCCAGCCCTTTGAATCTGGCGCGGTCTTCCTAAGTAGCGTGTAAGGACCGCGTCAGAAAAAAGGGGCGGGGCTAAGCTCCGTGAACCCGGAAGTGGGTTCCTACGGTGAAATGCATGTCAGGCTATACCTGACACCCAATCTTGACACATACACACACACACACTGGCTCTTACACACACACTGCTTATACACACACTGGTTCTTACACACACACACTGACTCTTACATTGGCTTATACACACACACTTACTGTTTCTTATAATTGCTAAACAGAGGTCCCCCAGGTGTTGCTGCACTGTACTAGTTTTCCTTCGTTCTCCACAGCACTTGACTGCCTGGATATAATGTCACGTATCTCAGCGGCCTTTAGCTCATGAAGAGATTGGCCGCTCCTCACTGCTTTACCCTGCTCCCTCAGTGACTGCACGGTTTTCTCTCCCCATCACACAGCTAGCCAGCTCGGTAAATTACTACCATGACCGGCAACTTCTAATGCTCCCAACCCCCAGGGCCAGATTAGGAGCTCACTGGGCTTGGTGCGGACAATTATGATGGACCTTATTACAGAATTTTCTCGACAGAAAACTCTAAAGCAGTTTTACCTTCCAATTGTTATGTATCTGGTGGAGATGGTGCTGGAGGAAAACTCACAGGATATAGCTATCAGAAAACACCTACCCTATGCTAATCTCTTGCTTTCATCTTTCAAGTAAATCCATACCCAGGGCCGACATTTCCATAAGGCAGCTCAGGCAACCGCCTTAGGGCGCACAGGCCTGGGGGGTGCTAGATTAGAGTGACTGGCCGGAAGCAAGCACACTGCGCTCCCTCCTGCCAGTGACTCAGTGTAGCGTGGCTGAACGGCGCATACTGTGGTACAGGAGCTTCTGATTCCTTCCCTGGCCGGACTGACAGGAAGTGCTTACTGAGAGAGCACTTCTTGTCAGTCCGGCCGGGTACAGGAAACTTAAGCTCCTGTACCGCGGTCTGCTTTACTCGGCCACGCTACAAGATAGGTAGGAGGCATACCAGGTTTGGAGGGGAGAGGACCATTAAGAGGTGTGGGGGTGGGGTGGGGAGCGGACCACTAAGTGGGGGAGAGTGAGGATCACTAAGGGATGGGGGGGCACTAAGACAGGGGAGGGAAGGGAAATGGAACACTAAGGGACAGAGGGGCGGGGGCACTAAAAGAGAGGAAAAAGAGGGGAGAGGAACAGGTACAGAGATAGGTAAAGAGGGGAAGAGGAACACTAAGGGACAGGCGAGGTAAGGGAAAAGGAACACTAAAGGGGGGTTACCACTAAAAGAGAGGGAAGGGAGAGGAGAAGAACACTAAGGGGGGGACACTAAGGGACAGAAGAAGGAAGGGAGAGGAACACTAAGGGATAGGGGAGGGAGAGGAGAGGAACACTAAGGGACAGGGAAGGGAGGAGAGAGGAACACTAAGGGACAGGGAAGAGGAAGGGGATGGGAGAGGACCACTAAAGGACATGGAGGGGACCACTAAGGATATGGAGAGGAGGGGAGAGGAGCACTAAGGGACATGGAGGGGAGAGTGGCACATAGGGGGGCCTGAGTGGTGAAAAAGAAACACAGATGGGCCTGGGTGGATGAAAGAGACACACAGAAGGGCCTAGGGGACATACAAAGAGGCTGGGGGTGAAAGAGACACAGAGGGGCTGGAGAAAAGGAAAAAAACACAGAGTGGCTTAGGGGAGATAGACGGGCTGGAAAAAGGGTGTGTCTGCACGAAACAGACTGGCATGAATGCACATCAGGCTGCCTGCCAATCACGCAGGATGACCAACCAAGGGCATACTGTGCAGACAGCACCCTAAACTTGGCATAAATGCGTCTAATGATGCACTAGCTTTGCGCTTTCTAAGGACTCTACCCTAGAACTCGCTGATCTACTCCTCTCCTCAGGGCCGCCATCAGGAGGTGACAACCATAACGGGACCCTGTGCCTCTTCTCTCTCCCTAACCTCGTTTACACTACCTTCCTGTCAGTCGGACACTAGGGGAACTTGATCTTAGATGCTAGTTAGTACTCCAGACAATTGATCCCCTGGGCACCGTTTAGTAGATCTCCCTTTTTTTCAAGTTATACTTTTTGCTTGCATATCCCTTTTTATCCTTAGATTGATTAAAGGAAGGGCCTCCCTTCCTCATTTCTTATACAGTGGAGATCTCCTGATGTTGGTTTCCCCTTGTGGGACTCTACACATCACCTATTCCTATTACCTACATATTTTGGAGAGTTACCCCCTCATTGGAGATCCCTATTAGGTGGTTACAGTGGTGCAGCTCATAAGCCCTTGACTTGTATCCGGACTCCTGATCTGCACTCTATTTACTTTATTTCTCCCTTCTGTATGTATGTCTGTATGTGTGTCTGTATGTATGTATGTCTATGTATGTATGTCTGTCTGTATGCATGCATGTCTCTGTGTATGTATGTATGTCTGTATGCATGTATGTATATGGATAGATGGATGTATGTCTGTATGCATGTATGTCTGTCTGTATGTATGTCTATGTATGTATATATGTATGTCTGTATGTCATTATATATGTATATATGTATGTCTGTATGTCAGTATGAATGTATGTCTGCATATCATTATGTCTGTGTGTATGTGTGTATGGATGTCTGTATGCATGTATGTCTGTCAGTATGTCTGTATATATGCATGTATGTCAGTCTGAATGTATGTATGTATGTATGTATGTATGCCATTATGAATGTATGTCTGTGTATGTCTGTATGCCATTATGAATGTATGTGTGTATGGATGTTAGTATGTCTGTATGTATGAATGTATGTGTGTATGTATGTATGTGTGTGTGTGTATGTATGTATGTATGTCGGTGTCTGTATGTATGTATGTGTCTTTATGTCCTCATGCATGTGTGTCTGTATGTATGTTAGTATGTGTCTGTCTGTAACTATGTATGCCTGTGTGTATGTCTCAGTATGTATGCCTGTATGGGTGTATGTTTGTTTCAGTATGTGTGTCTGTTAGTATGTATCTGTGTCCTTTTGTATCAGTGTGTGTGTTTGTGTCTGTGTGTGTATTCCTGTGGGCGGTGTTTGGAGGCGGACCCAGTGGGCGGTACTTGGAGGCGGGCCCCAGGGGGCCCAGACCCTGAGCTGAGTTAGGGGCCCCAAAATTTCTGGTGGCAGCCCTGCCTCTCCTAACCTTCTTACTAGCAGGCAGAAGCTAGTAAGTGTATGTAGTGAGTATAGAAGAAAGGGAACATGCCATAGTGTTAGAAGGACTGAAGCAGCATTTGCATAGTGCACAAAGTCAGCTTTACCGTAACTAATTTCATTGTCAGCTAGTCTACACCAGTTTTGTTCCCCTACATACCTCTTAAGTTTCCACACTGAAGCAAGAGCATGTGGAGAGTAGTAAAAAAATTTTTAAATTTTTTTATATTTTTTTAAAATCAATGGGCCCCTATGTTAATCCAGCCCTGCCAACACCCACCTATTGGTGGGCAATAAATAGAGTGGGTGGTGTACACTATCCCCCATTCAATTTATTTAATAGCACCACCCGTGGATGGAGGCTAGAGAGGGACACTAGGCCCGCCCTGTTTAGTTTATAGACCCCACTCGTAGACCATGGTGGGAGCGCAGGGATTTATAATTAGCCCAGCTAATTATGTTAGATTTAAATAGATGTAGGGCATTATTAAGATGGGGGAAAGGAGGTGTGCCGTAGCTCAGTGTCAACAGCATTTCTGATTGATTTGTAATGCTAGCAAATCTGAACAAACCGTCCCTGGCTGTCTGTTATGGAAATCAGAACTTTTATAACAAAGAAACATACCTTTTGCAAGCCATTTTAGTGAATGAGAAATCACTGATTGGCTGAGAGTGTCAATCTGAAAATTCAGAAGCCGCCAAGAGAGGAGTGGAGACTGGAGCTGGAGCCAACTATGGGGTTAAACTGGTAAAACAAAATAAACTATTTAACCCCTTGAAGTGAGAGTGACTGCAGGGGCTTCCTGGCACCATAAAAACTTAGTTTAAATTAGAATCTTTAACCCAAGAAGCGGTATAGTGAAGGATTTAAATGGCCTCCGAAGATCCCAAGAAACGGGCAAATAATATAAGGTGGAAAAAAGAATAGGGGGTTCTCTCTCTCCAAAATAGGAAGTTAAATAGACCAGCAAGGCAACAGCTACCATAGGAAGTCACAAGGGTAGGGTGGGAGGCAACAAATAGAGTTTTAGTACTTTTTTCCTCTGGTGTTTCTTTTCTATCTTTTTACTTGATTCAATTATATAATAATTAATTAGGAAAGGAATATATAGATATGTAAATATATGAATGAGATGGGGAGGAATATTAATGATGACAAGATACCAAGGCAAAAAGTAAGAAGCTTTACGTGTTCCACATATGCCAGGTATATGTCTGAAATAATATTTTTTAAAAAAAACCTAGTTTAGATTAAGTTATTTTAGTACCTGGAGTATAAATGAAGATGTTATGGTGCCAGGATGCCCCTGGAGGCACTCTTACCTCAAGGGGTTAAACTGTGCTCGAATGGTTTAACCCCAAGGTTGCCTCCAACGGCGATCTGCACTCCTCCCCTGTCGGCATCAGGCTTCTGAATTTTCAGATTCACGAAGCGCAGAGTGCATCCGGACAGAGGTGCCGCAGATTGACTGAGATTGACCCTCACAGCAAATCAGTGACACCCCATTCACTAATCTGGCTTGAGAAAGGTACAATTCTTTTCAAGCCAGTTCAGTGAATGGGGAGTCCCGGAGAGTCATTGAGAAGGGTTTATCCCCTTAAGGTAAGAGTGCCTCCAGGTTTCATAACAACTTAATTTTGATAAAGTTGTTTTGGTGACGGGAGTATCCCTTTAAGTCCACCTTTAACGGCTGTCATACTGACTGACACTAGAGACGATTCCGCAGCACTGACCAAGTTAAACTTCATCACTTGACGAGAAAGCACACATGGGTACAGGTGTGTATTCCTAATGCTTTATTGTTCCTTTAAATTAAAGATGTTCATTGTGTGTTCGTAGATTTCCAGAATAATAATTGGATTAAGGTATTTTTCCGAACTTTGCATCTTTATTTTATAACATGTTTTGCTGTTAAGTG